GTCGGCCCTGGTGAGGCCGAGAGGGTGCCCGCTGCTCCTGGGGCAGGGGTGCTGGGAGCGCAGATGAGAAAGTGGGTGGCCGCCGGGCTGCCGACTTCAGGGAGGAAGGAGGGCTCCGCTCTGGTTGCTCACCTGCCGGGAGGCTGCAGGCCCCGCCGAGGCTGCTGGGGGAGTGAGTGCTCTTGCGAGTGGAGCCAGGCGCGTCCGGCTCCTCCTTCGCGCTGCCAGGAGCTCCCTTTGGCTTCCAGGAGTCATGCTGAGCGGAGATTTTGTGTAGCAGCTGAGGACTGTGGAAAGCATCCAGCCCTGGGTCCCGAGCCATCAGACCTAGATCTCTGGAGTAGGAGCTTTCAAACTTCTTTTTTTAAAACCATGCTCCTAGAGAGAAGTACATTTAGTATCACGATCCAGTACATACCTACGTATGAATGAAAAGTTCCACAAAGCAGTGTTTATCCTTGATGCAGTCCAATAATTTCTATTACATTTCATTCCCTTTAATTAAAAATGCTAAATTCACTAAATCGATTTATGGGTCCCAAATTGCAGTTTGAAAAATCCTGTCTCCAAGGCACATTTCTTTGGCTTCAATTACTGCCCTGTATTGTCTGCTGCTAGCGAGCAAGGATGGTTACCTGACTTGGATCCTGAGGGTGTTGGGGAGGGACCACCCAGGTGTAGTTGACTGCTTCATTTGTTTAAATATATATCATGTAGCATATTTGACTGCTGTTTTGTACCATAATCTTAATCATTGATGTCTTAATTTGATTGATCATTTGATGAAATAAGCATGTTCTTTAATTTTCTCTATCCTTTGCTGTGTCTGAGAAATAGGAGAGGTCTAGTTTCATTGAGTTGACTTATCCCTACAACATAGTAAGGTAATTTTATTTTAATGTTACAGTGCTGTAAGCATACACTGATTTCCTTTTCTGCTATTTAAAGAAATATCAAGCTGAATAATTAATATATTGAACTAGAGCCTCAGTGCATGGAATTCATGCACTGGGGAGGGGGACATCCCTCAGCCCGGCCTGCACCCTCTCACAGTCCAGGACCCCTCAGGGGATGTCCACCTGCTGGCTAAGGCCCGATCCCCGGGACCTGCTTGCTTCTTACCACTTGTCTCACTGCTCCTTAGCAGCAGGCTCCTTACTGCTCAGCTGCTCCTTAGAGCTGCCGTGGAAGCGGGAGAGACTCCCAGCACTGCTGCTGTGCTTTCCAGTCATGAGCCCGGCTTCTGGTTGAGTGGCACTCCCCCTGTGGGAGCACACTGACCACCAGAGGGCAGCTCCTGTGTTGAGTGTCTGCCCCTGGTGGTCAGTGTGCATCATAGCAACTGGTCATTCCGCTCTTCGGTAGATTTGCATATTAGCCTTTTATTATATAGGATACTTCTACATAATTGAATGTATATGGTTTTGGTATATATTTTAAACTTAAGTATAACTTTGAATCAGGTAACATCATTATCCCCCCCCCCCCAGGAAAATGTTGTTTTTATCTGTTTATAAATCAGTGAGGCCCTTATATGATAGTATTGTAACAAACATTAAAGAGTGTTGGTGACCAAGTGAGAAGCCTGCATGTGTTGCTCTGTTTAAAGTTCTTTTAAAAGTTGTCACACAGCCTATTGCTACAGAATGTTGAGTGTCAAATGATGTTACCTGATTTCAGTAGGTCAATTTATAGGGCATATATTTAAGACCAGTTTAATGGTGTTAATTTTTGTTGAGGATGCCTCCATATTATTTGGAACATGGAAAGCAAAGGCACAGCCATCAGGGAAGAATTGCTCAAATTAAACTTAATCAGTGGGGCCACATTAGATGCCTTAAGAAAGATGCTTATCATCTTTAAACTTTGTATGTTGTAAAATATATCTTTCTTAACTACTTATTGACTATATCTTGGTTATTGATGAGCGAACTGTGTGTTGTCATGTACTAGTCATCCTTTAAATTATCTTTTAATCAGATAAATAGTTGTTTTAAAATATTTAGCTCTAAAACATTTTTTTTTTTATGGTAAGTATTTGAAACATGAAGGAAGATTCTCATTAATTTTTTTTTTCTGGGAATTTCAATAAACAGTTGTGGAGAATTTACCCTGGTGAATGTGTGTACTTTTTTATAGTTTTCATTTCTTTTGAACCTCAGACTTCTAAATGATCTTTTCCCCTTCTAATTTTTGCTTCTAAACTGGTGAGTTTGGAAATTCAAATCTTACATTGTTAGAACTTTATGTAAAATAAGATTGTATAGCTCTGAGTACTGTTCTTTATACATAACTAGAGGACCAGTGCACAAAAATTTGTGCACTCGGGGGGGGGGGCCCCTCAGCCCGGCCTATGCCCTCTTGCAGTCTGGGACCCTTCGGAGGATGTCCACCTGCTGGCTGAGGCCCGCTCCCCGGGGGATCGGGCCCAAGCTGGCAGTCAGACATTCCTCTGGTAGCCCGGCAGCCCTTGGATGTCCACTTACCAGCAGGGAGCAGACCTAAGCTGCAGTCGGACATTCTTAGTGCTGCTGAGGAGGCGGGAGAGGCTCCCGCCACCACTGCTGTGCTGGCAGCCATCAGCCTGGCTTGAGGCTGAGCAGAGCTCCCCCTGTGGGAGCAGCCTGACCACTAGGGGACAGCTCCTGCATTGAGCATCTGCCCCCTGGTGGTCAGTGTATGTCATAGTGAACAGTCATTCCCAGTCGTTCTGCTGTTAAGGTCATTTTGCATATTACCCTTTTATTATATAGGATAGAGGCCTGGTGCACGGGTAGGGGCCAGCTGGTTTGCCCTGAAGGGTGTCCCGGATCAGGGTGGGGGTCCCGCTGGGGTGCCTGGCCAGCCTGGGTGAGGGGCTGATGGCTGTTTGCAGGCTGGTCAAGCCCCCCCAGTGGGGACCCTCACCCCATGGAGGTTTGGCCAGCCTGGATGAGGGGCTGATGGCTGTTTTCAGGCTGGCCACACCCCCTTCAGGGTGGGGGTCCCCACTGGAGTGCCTGGCCAGCCTGGGTGAAGGGCTGATGGCTGTTTGCAGGCTGGTCACACCCCCTTCAGGTGCGGGGGTCCCCAATGGGGTGCCTGGCCAGCCTGGGTGAGGGGCTGATGGCTGTTTTCAGGCTGGCCATATCCCCTTTAGGGTGGGGGGTCCCCACTGGGGTGCCTGGCCAGTCTGGGTGAAGGGCTGAGGACCGTTTTCAGGCTGGCCAAGCCCCCCCGGCGACAGAAGCTCCCAGCTTCTCCTTTTTTCTTTTTATTCTGGGATTTATTTACCTTCTATAATTGAAACTTTGTAGCCTTGAGTGGAGCTCAGAGCCGGCCAGGGTGGGCGGGAAGCTTGGCTTTCTCCATCACTGGGGCAACCAAGCCTCCTCCTTGCTCCAGCTCCGTGGCTGCCGGCCGCCATCTTGGTTGGGTTAATTTGCATATAATCACTCTGATTGGCTGGTGGGCATGGCTTAAGGCATAGCGAAGGTACGGTCAATTTGCATGTTTGCCTTTTATTAGTGTAGATATGTATATATGTATAATATATAAATTACTAATATTTTTTAGTATCTAAACTATGCGATATGTATTTTGGCTACTCCGAGGCCTATTTATTGACCTCTTAATCATGGGCTGCTTTTTGAATAAATGAACTCTACATATTTTGAGCCTCATCAGCTGTAATAAGAAAAAGTTCTTAAAAGCTAATATGAATCTGACAGTGATACAAGTTGTACTTAAGGGGTGAAGAAATCATTTAGCTGTAATTGTTGCCTTTGCCCTACATGCAATTAAGCATTAAAAGTTACCATTCCTCCTGTTTTTAACTTTTTCACGATCCTGTTTTGACTCTTACTTCTTTGAGATTAGAATGTAAACAGTCTAACTGCTCCCATTGTCTTATTCTAGGTCTGCATGATCTTGCATAGCTTCAGAGAATGTTGTTGTCCTTTATCATTTCCTTCCTCAAAGCCATTAGCAGCATCCCAGTGAGGGCACTGTATAGGTTGACATTGAGGTCATTCCACAGCCTCTACTCTTCTTCTGACATGTTTTCCATTCTGAAATGCAAATCCTCTATTTTTGCTAAGTGGTTTACTCATTGTACCTTGCTTTATATATAACACTAGAGGGCTGGTGCATGAAATTTGTGCACTGTGGGGGGGTGTCCCTCAGCCCAGCCTGAACTCTCTCCAATCTGGGACCCCTTGGGGGATGTCCGACTGCCGGTTTAGGTCTGAACCGGCAGTCGGACATCCCTCTCACAGTCTGGGACTGCTGGCTCCTAACTGCTCGCTTGCCTGCCTGATTGCCCCTAAACGCTTCCGCCTGCCGGCCTGATTGCCCCCAACTGCCCTCCCCTGCCGGCCCGGTCACCCCCAACTCCCCTCCCCTGCAGGCCTGGTCCCCCACAACTGCCCTCCCCTGCTGGCCCGGTCGCCCCTAATTGCCTTCCCCTGCAGGCCTCTTTCCCCCACAACTGCCCTCCCCTGCCGGCCTAGTTGCCCCCAACTTCCCTCCCCTGCTGGCCCAGTCAGCCCTAACTGCCCTCCCCTGATGGCCTGGTCGCCCCTAACTGCCCTCCCCTGCTTGCCATCTTGTGGCGGCCATTTTGTGCGAGGGTGTGATGGCAATTTGCATATTACCTCTATTATATAGGATTATTCCTGAAAGTCTGCAGGAAATGTCTTTTCTTTCCTCATGAAAACCTACTTACTTTTATTTCGTAACTAATGACTCTTCTTTCTTGACGTCTCTCTTTTCTGTACTGTCTGCACTGCTTTTCTTGAATTGCTTTGTATTGTTTGTGTACCTTGTTTTTACCCTTTTAGATTGTAAACTCATAGTAGACAGGAAGCTCAGATATCTTTGAATCTCTAGGACACCTAGCACAGGGTTTATGAGAGCTTGGTTCCTGGATCATGTGACTCAGAATTAACTGCATTTATGGTTAAATTGTAGCTCTCTGAAAATTGTGCCCTAGACTTACTGAATCAAATTCTAGGTATGTGACTTGCAATTCTTCCGTTCAGTAAAATTTGAGCATCACTGACCTAGCATATACTTTAAGGTACAGTAGGTACATTCATATAAATTTTCTTTCAAGTGATATCAATGAACTGAGCAGCCAGTAGGCTGGCTTACTCTTTTAGGGCTTTGGAGTCAGGCAGCCTAGATTTGAATCCTGTCTCACTAGCCCTCTATAATAATAAAAGCATAATATGTTAATTAGACCAGACATCCTTCTGGACGAAGCCGCAGCAGCAGGCAGAGGTAGAGGCAGCCGCTGTGGAGGTGGAGGTGGAGAACCTTGCATGAATTTCGTGCATGAAGCCTCTAGTCTGACTATAAATTTCTGCCTTAGTTTTCCAATCTGTTAAATGGGATTAATAATAGTACCTTTCATCAGGATGTTGTATAATTGAACATATGTAAAACAACATAATACAAGACACACAATAAAACTCAAAAGATTGTATCTGTTTTTAAAAGGATGATCAGCCTGCAATGGTCATTGAAGTAATGAAAAGTGAGACTAGGTTCCATGTCAATCATTGTTAATTGCTCTTGGTTATCAGATAGTGTTTTAAGTCATAGAGGTGTTTTGCTTTAGGATTTTGGTATCAAATTAGCATGTCAGTTTTTTTCCTCTTCATCGCCCCATTGCCTGAAGGATAAAATGCAAACTTTTCAACAGAGAGCTGCCCCTCAGCACCTGGCCCTGCCAGCCATCTTCCTCTCCAGCCCTCTTCCCACACACTCCGTGGCAGCGACGCCACATTTCTCACTGACACGTATTTGGGCCTTTCCATGTGCTGTACTCTAGGGAAAGATGTGGCTCTCTGCTAAGACTCATCCTTCGTGAGGAGAGTCACTCCGTGGTATTCTCAAAGGGCTTTGTACATTCTTTGTATCACCTTTGTGTACATCTGTCTTCTTGTGGAGGGAAAAGGATTTTGTCCTAGAATATGTTCCCAGTACATTTTAAATAATTATTCCACCTCTGTTAGAGGTGGGAGATGTTTAGTTGTAATTTGACTCAGATAAGCTTTCCCGTGTGTTTGGAGTTTTCTTCTCTCAGCTTTCATCATAACTACTATTATTGACTACTTACCACATGACAGGCACAGCTAGATGTTT